GCAAAAACAGCTTTTGTAACGCCCGATTCTCAATTTGAATTTCTAAGAATGCCATTTGGGTTGACTAACAGTCCAGCAGTTTTCCAAAATTAATACAGTTTTGCGCAATCTAAAAGATCAGGTGGCCTTCCCTTATATAGATGACATTTTAATTCCATGTACTAATGTCAATGATGGTCTGCAGAAATTGAAAATGGTACTGGATGTACTACGAAAAAGCAATCTAACATTAAAACCTTCAAAATGTATTTTTTTTAAACCAAAGTTGATTATTTGGGTAGCGAAGTTAATGCAGAGGGTATCCGTCCAGGGAAGCGAAAAATTAATTCCATACTAGGCATGAAAGATCGATGTACAGTGAGGGAAATTCGACAATTTTTAGGATTGGCTGGGTTTTTTCCGTTCATAAAGAATTATGCAAGCATCGTTGAACCATTAACGCGTCTGACTAAGAAAAACATTCCATGGACATGGTGTGAACAGCAGCAAAAAGCAGTAGCGAAAGTAAAAGAACTACTTACTAAGCGACCAATTTTAGCTGTTTTTGATCCTAATTTGGAAACGGAACTTCATACCGATGCTAGCGCTCTGGGCTTTGGAGCAATGCTATTACAGAAGAAAGAAAAAATGTCCCATGTAATAGCTTACTTCAGTAAAAAGACTACTCCTGAGCAGAGCCGTTACCATTCGTATGAGCTGGAGACGCTAGCCGTCATTTTACTTCAGAACATATCTGCTAGGTATCAAATTCACGGTTATCACAGACTGTAATGCTCTGCGCACAGCCTTTTTAAAAAGAGATTTACTACCAAGAGTGGGAAGGTGGTGGCTTGAAGTGCAAGATTTTGATTTTTCAGTCCAGTACAGGGCTGGAAAATCCATGAGTCATGTTGATGCACTGAGTAGAAATCCAGTAGCTGAGGTGGCTCAGATAGATTTGACTGAAGAAGACTGGATTCTTGCAGCACAACTTCAAGACGAGCATATCAGTAAAATCAAGAATATCCTGGAAGACGGTAATACAATTGATTTTAAACAATATTTTGATTGTTACAAGCTAAAAAATGGAAAGGTTTATCGAAAACTTGAAAATGGAAAGTTGGAAAATACGATCAGGCATGCGCCATGCCAGTTCGTATCCAAGTACACAAAATCGTGCTTAAATTGTTCATATTATAACCATCCGTCAGGACGGAAACAAGGCATGATGTATCCGATAGAAAAGTGTCCTACACCATTTCATACGTTACATTTTGACCACTTAGGGCCTTTCGTTCAGAGTAAAAGAGGAAATAAGTATTTGCTTACAATAGTAGACGGGTTTACTAAATTTGCTATAATAGAACCTGTCAAGAGTACAAATTCAAAATATGTACAGCAAATATTGTTAGACATTATGTATTTATTTGGTGCACCTTATCGGATAATTACTGACAGAGGCACTGCTTTTACAGCAAACCGATTTAAAATGTTTTGTGACCACTATGGAATTCGACATATTCTTAACGCTGTGGCCACACCACGGGCTAATGGTCAGTGTGAAAGATATAATAGAACTATTTTAAATGCCCTAGCTGCTACGGCATCGGCAGCGGGGAAACCAGAAAATAAATGGGATAAATTTGTTAAAGATGTCCAGTGTGCCATTAATTGTACTTTGAATAAAACCACAGGAACTACTCCAATAGAGGTTTTAGCTGGGTATAAGGCAAGACATATTTCTGAGGCACGAATTTTAAACGAAGTCCAGGCAAACCTCGAGTTACTAGATTTGCCTAAATTACGAGTTGAAGTTCTGGGTCGCATAACAGAAGAACAAAAGCGGCAAAAAGCATGATTAGACAAAACAAGGGCAAAGGCAAAAAAGTACGAAATAAACGATTTGGTTCTTGTTTTAAAAACGGACCAACCCAGTACTGGAGACAGCAGGAAGCTTAAGGCAATACAAGGGACCATTTCCGGTCAACAAGGTCTTATATAATGACCGATATGAAGTAGTAGATATGAGAGAAAATATCAGAAAAGGAAGAACTTCTGTTATATCTGTAGATAATATGAAACCATGGATTACTCTTAAAGGTAATTTATACAGGGTGGCCCATCGAAAACGTTCCGCAAGGCATAACGGCCAGGGTAATTTTTTTTTTCAAAAAATTCATAAACACGTCAATTTTGTTTGTGAGGGGGACAACTTTTGCCCCAAAAATGATTGCAAAATCTTCAACCCTCTAAGCGGGGGTGTCATCTCCCAATTTTTTTCAAATGGGAAGGGGGGTCAAGTGGTACCGCAATGAAAAGGGCTTTCTATTCTCTATACTTTCCCGCTTCGTTTTTGAAAATCGGTCGAGTCATTGAGAAAATATGAAGGATTTATCAGAGTAAATGATAAGGATAAACAGGCCTGGATTAAGGGGGGAAGGGGCTATGGGGCTATAGCCCCAGGCCCCATCATTTAGAGGGGCCCCCGAATCAGGAGAATTTAAAATCGAGTTTAGTTAAGTGAAAATGTACATATAATACGAAAACTACAGATTTTTCGTGACATATTGTTATAAATCATCATAAATCTTGAATTTATTATAAAAGTAACTAAAACTGTATTTTAAAAACAATAAAAAATTAAAATCCAGCCTGGAACACCTGCAACAGTGCAACAGAAATATATTTAGTCTTATCTATATATGTATATGCTATATGTAAATGCTAATGTTTATCTGTGTCGTCTCTACTGAAGTAACGACTTGCTCTAGAGTTGCTTTTTTACTAAAAGATAGCTAATTAGCTCTTCTAAATACTGTCGTCGCCGGATTTTTTATTTTTCATTTAATTAAAAAACAAGGTATTTTTCCTGATGTCGATGTCGTGGCGGATGCGCTAGGCTTCAACTAGTTAAATATATTGCAACTTGCAACAGACAACTTGTTATTCTCATAATGTCAAAAACAAACTCTTCTTCTTTTCTTTTTTGGGCGGCAACACACTTTCCCAAAAAAATATCAAGAGTGCTGCATATACAATGGTTTATTCTTCTTTTTAAATTTTTCTGTTAGGTTAGGTTAGGATGAATGTATGAATTACCGAAAGCCGAAAGCGCTAGGGGAATTACTCAGATTAGATTTCGCTTTTTATTCTATTTGATTAGTTATTTATTTTTGCATAGCGCATCTAAGAAGTAAGCGATTGCGAATAATAGATTTAAGAAAACAAGAACAATAATACGTTTTTAATTGTGTAGTTTATTGTGTAGTGCATTTTAAAAAATGTCATGTAGCAGAAAATATCTTAGTGGATCTGCTAAACGTAAGGTAGGAATTAGTTTTAGCCTTATTACTATTACGCATTTACTTGATATGATCATTTATATAATAATTTTGGTATTAACAATTAAATTTACAATAACTTTCTTAAGTTTCTTCTTTTAAAATTAAGGGCTTTAATATATATATTATATCTACTTTCTCTGGACCGCTTACAAAAGATAAAAAGACAAACGAATTAAAAACAAAAAAGTCTCTCGTCATAGAGGCCATAAAATACTATTCCTTTTTTAAAAATAAGCTTTATGAAAAATGAAAAAGAATTCCCGTATGCTCATAAAATATAAAAAATTCGAGAACTACTCCAATTTTGAAAATTTCTAAGCAATACTCGTATTAATGTGAGATGTTGATGTTTTAAGAGTTTTTTAGGCAACATTTTTCAATAATATACAGTGTGTTCCGAAACTATTGTGCCAAAATGTAAGGATTGGTAGATCTCACGAAAATCAACGTTTTTAAATGGGATACTGATACTAATGGTCGGAAGTGCGTCGTTTTCAAAATAGAGGGTGTTAAGCTTTTAAGAAAAAATCGATCTTTTTTAATATCTATACAGGGTGGTACACCGAAAACGTTCCACCCCGGGTTTTTTTGCTTGTAAATAAATAATTCGAAAAATGTTCGGACTCGTCGATTTTGTTTTTCAGGGGGACTTATTTTTTTTGGTATTTGCACCCCTTTGACGGGGTAGCTATCACCCTTAAAATTTTGTTTTAAATGGAATAGGAGGTCGAGTGATACCTTGTTTTAATGTAAAATTAAGCCTCTATTGCCATTCGCGTTAAATGGTACGCCACTACTTTTTAAATAAAATTAATATTATTTTTGAAATCCCCATTCAATTTACAACATATTTTATTTCTTGACTTTTTTTGTCCGACGCAGCGTTTTCGCGTAAAAAAATAAAAACCATTTCCATGCATGACCAAATCGCTAACATGTTACCATACATTTTAATGGCAAAATTTGTAAAACGGCAAATTTAAGTTTAAAAAGTTTTTTTATTTTCCAAAAACTTCTTTCTATGAACATAGTATAGTACGAACTAAAATGCCCAAAAACCTAAATTGTCGTTTTTCAAATTTTACCATTAAAATTTACATTACCATTTTAGCGATTTGGTCATGTATGAAAATGGTTTTAATTTTTTTAAGCAAAAATGGTGCAATAATATTCAATTTAATAATATTTTGTTTAAGTACCGTAGGATGGTATACAGTGGTATAATAGATATTAAAAAAGATCGATTTTTTTTCTTAAAAGTTTAACACCCTGTATTTTGTAAACGACGCATTTCAGACCATCAGTGTCCCATCTCAAAATGTTTATTTTGACGAGATCTACCAACCTTTAGATTTTGGTACAATAGTTTCGGAACACCCTGTATTTTTAAATTTACGAAAACTTAGGGATATTTTAAATTAATTTCAGATACAAGAAGAAAAACTAAAGAAAACTTTAAAATTGCCTAAAGTAACAGACTTTTTTAGTATTTGCGAAATCCCTTCAACGTCAAATTCTGAGTTAAATAAAAATCAAGATCATGAACTGCCTTCCTGTTCAACTTCAAGCAATATTAGTTTAAGTGAAAATAACAGCAATGAGGAAAAAGGTGCAGAAAAATTAACAAAAATACCTCAGTCTGAAACTCAAGAAGATGTTGTTTTTCATTCGCAAGAAATGCGAATTGAACAAGATCCAGCATTATGGCCACCAAAAATTACGGATTATATGAGACAAGACTACTTAAAGAAGGGTCTAGATTACTTCCAAAATAATGATGGAAAGTTTGAGGCATCAATACGAAAATACCAAAAGCAAAATCGGTCACTGTCAGTAAAATTATTTGAAAGTCGACAATCGAATGGGGAGTCATATGTAAGAAAGTGGTTAATGTATTCACAATCAAATGGATCGGTTTACTGCTTTGTCTATAAACTCTTTTGTTCAGAGGAAAATAATGTATTTACAACCGGATTTTCCGATTGGAAAAGGGCACAAGGAAAGGTAAAATCTCACGAAAATAGCGTAGAGCATCGTAAACATCTTTTAACTTGGAAAACGTATTCCAAATGTTCCAAAATAGATGTAGAAGTGACAAAATTATTAAACAAAGAAATTGATTATTGGAAAAATGTTTTTCGGCGTATTGTTGAGGTTGTAAAATTTATTGCTGAAAGAGGTCTAGCTTTTCGAGGTGAACATGAAATATTCGGTTCTCCACATAACGGAAACTATTTGGGAATTTTAGAACTGATCTCAAAGTTTGATCCTTTTTTACGCCAACATTTGGAAAATTTTGGGCAGAAGGGCAAATGTAGTGTATCCTACCTCTCTAAGACCATATGTGATGAATTAATTGGATGTATGGGCACAAAAATTTACAATAAAATTATAACTGAAATTAAGGAGGCAAAATATTACTCTATAATAGTAGATTCTACACCTGATCTCTCAGATGTGGATTAACTATCTGTTGTATTCAGATACTGTTTAAACGGAAAAGTTCTGGAACGATTTCTTTGTTTTGTTCCCATTCATAGTCACACTGGAAAATCCCTTGCTGACGAAATTTTATCTATTTTACAGACAAACTCTGTGAAAATTGAAAATTGTAGAGGACAAACGTATGATAACGCTAGTAATATGTCTGGAAAATATAAAGGTGTCCAAGCGGAAATTAAAAAAAGGAATAAACTTGCCCATTATGTCCCATGTGCAGCTCATTCACTAAATATAGTTGGAGAATCTAGCGTCGATGAATGTGTAGAAGCTACAAGTTTTTTTGGCTATTTACAGAAATTATATGCATTTTTTGTTGCATCGACTCATCGCTGGGAAATTTTAATTGAAAATATCAATAAAAAAAATGAAGAAATTGGTACACATAGGGCTGTATTAGTTGTAAAGTCACTTTCTGCGACAAGGTGGTCCTGTCGCGAGCAAGCAGTAAAATCTCTTGTCAGCAATTATGATGGTATTTTTAATGCTTTGAAACAATTGGCCGAAAACCCATTAGAAAAAAAAGATACCAAAGATGAGGCATTTTCCTTAAAGAAAAAAATGATAAGACTTGAAAACGCGTTTATGGCTATTTTTTGGAATCAAGTATTGGAGCGATTTGATGCCACAAGTAAGTACCTACAAAAACCTGGTCTTGATGTCATAACAGGACATACAATGTTAGTGTCATTACTACAGTTTGTTTGCGACTTCCGAGGTCAATTCGAATCCTTAGAGGAAAAGGCCAAAGCTATGTCTTCCATTTTGAATACGTCATACCAAGATGGATATCAACGTAGGGGCATCAAAAAATTAGCCGACGGCTCAACAGAAATACCACGACAAGGTTCAGACAAATTTCGCATTGAATCATACCTACCCATGATAGATAAAATAATATCTGAGCTTGAAAAACGAAACAAAGCTTACAAAGAAGTAAGCGATATTTTTGGTTTCTTTAGTCGGTTATCCATCCTTTCTTCCGAAGAGATAATTACCAAGGCTAGAAACCTAATTCTCCAATATTCCGACGATTTAGAAGACAACTTGGTTCAAGAACTTCTTCAGTTTTCTGCATTTTTAAAAACTTTAAATTTAAATAATGAATCTAGCTCTAGTGTTCCTTTTCTTTTAAACCTTCTTATTGAAAGAGATTTGTTAGAAGTATTTCCGGAGATTTTTATAGCTTTAAGAATTTATTTATGCATTCCAATAACCAATTGTGAAACTGAAAGATCATTTTCAAAACTCTCATTTATAAAAAACAAATACAGAACTACTATGGGCGAAGCCAGATTAGCCCATTTAGCTTTAATGAGTATTGAGAATGAACTTTTGTCTTCATTAAATTTTGATGATATTATTGAAGACTTTTCTACTTTGAAAGCTCGAAAAAAAGCATTGTAAAGATTTTTATTAAATAATTTTCATTATAATTTTGGTGTTGATTTTTGCTCGCTTTTTATTACCCTGAGTGAGTGTATACCTACTACCAAATTACGCTTTTTTGTTCATAACAAAATTTGAGGGTGAGGGCCCCACCATTATTTTGCTTCAAGCCCCTTTGTGTCTTAATCCGACCTGGGGGCCCCAAGGGCAGTCCATAGCCCCGGGCCCCCTAGGACCTTAATCCGGCACTGATCAGAGGGTATATTTTAGTTGCGATCTGAGAGATTTCGGTTTTTGACAAAATCGACAGGGGGGTACCGAGGAATGTTTTCGAAAAAATTTGGAAAATCTATTTTGCTTATTTCGTAATATGTTGTAGCGCTGAATGTGTACTTTACAAAAACGGTATCGTTTTTGAGATTCACACCTTTTGTTCCAGAGATATTTGGTGTTAAATCTTTCGAAAAACTGGGAAATAATCGAACTTTATTTTAAAAATAATGAATGTGGCAATCGGGTTGCGCAGATATTCAATGAACGCCATCCTGATAAACACCTTTATATGGCCAAATTGTTTGCGAGTTAGTAGCAAAATTTCATGAAACTGGTTCCGACCCATGAATAAAAAGAGGCAGAGGGAAAATCCTATAGTAAATGAAGCTATGGAGGTATTCGTATGGGCCAAGTTGCCATGGATAGTACGCTTAGTACAAGAAAATTAGCCAATGAGACCGGCGCCGGCGTGAACCGTACAAGTGTCCAAAGGCGTACAAGTGTCAAGACGATTTTGATCGTCGCTTGGAATTTTGTGAAACTATGAGTGAACGAGTGGCAAATGATAATAATTTCCTATTTAATGTGTGTTTTTCGGATGAGTGTACTTTCTTTTTGAACGGTGTAGTTAATCGGCACAACTGGGCACAACTGTCGGTACTGGGCTGAGGAGAACCCCAGGGTTTTTCACGAGGTGCACACACAAAACCCTCAGAAATTGAACGTGTGGGCTGGTATTTTTGGAAATTCTATTGTAGGTCAGTTTAACGATATTGAGAAGAACTTCAACGCACAAGCCACATAACAGCTAGCAACTACCGCACCTGATCGTTCAACCTTGTGGCAAGTGAAAAAATGCGTATACATCTAGAAATAATAACAAAAAACAGCAAATTGATTGAAGGAATTTATCCCTTTCATTTACTTACTGATAAATGTTTAAATAAACTTTTCAAATTTCAATCCTTAATATTTTCTCAATGACTCGACCGATTTTCAAAAACGAAGCGGGGAAATATAGAGAATAGAAAGCTCTTTTCATTGCAGTATCACTTGACCCCCCTTCCCATTTGAAAAAAATTGAGGGATGACACCACCGCTTAGAGGGTTAAAGATTTTGCAATCATTTTTGGGGCAAAAGTTGTCCCCCTCACAAACAAAGTTGACGTGTTTTTGGATTTTTTGAAAAAAAAAATACCCTGGCCGTTATGCCTTGCGGAACGTTTTCGATGGAGCCACCCTGTATAAATTATGAATATAGTGAGTGGGGATAGCGTTTTTAGAATGCCAGGCTCACCCTTGAGTGAGATGGTGATTGCATTCTCAAATGCCAGGCTCATCTTACTAAAGATTTTGTGCAAAGGGATAGCATTTTACAATGCCAGGCTCACCGTAGTAGTTGAGATGGTGATTGCATTCTAGAATGCTGTGTTCATCTTGAAAGGGAAGGGTTTGAATTTATTTAATTTTTCAGACACAGATGCAGAACAGACTGAGGACAGTCCAGGTCACGATGGCCGAATATGTAAGATTAATGGGCCACCGAATATTGCAAGCGAGGGATTAAGAACTAACCGGTGCAACGTAGAGGCGACGGAGTTTTGGGAAAAGTGGCGACGACACAGAAGAGATCGTGGAAGCCGAGTAGCAAGACCGGTGTCCTCTTACGAGATATATTAGCTCCTATTTTTATGAAGTATTATTGATAAATGGATTATTAGTATTTTTATTAATTAAAGTTTAGTTCATCTAAAGGACTTTATTTAAGACATTCTTACACGATTACTACTATACTACTGTTACGATCCAAAATAGTATATTTAAATTGTAAGCAAAACAAGCATTTCAAATAGTTAAAGCTGAATCTGGTCAAATTATTCAAGTCACCAACAGATATATCTATATTAGATCAAAAGCAATTAGATTTAAAAATCTTCTAATTTCTGTAACAAATTAGTTAGTTACATGTTTGACGAAACTGTTGCAAAGAAAGGTTCCATAGAATCTGTATCTTTTTTGTGACATTTCATAAATAAATATGTTAGCAGTTCAGTTTCTGTTTTGCATATCTTTAGTAACAACTATGGAGACAGAATAAAAATCCGGCCTATGTTTTATTTTCTGTCAACTTTAATTAATAACGGAAGATTTTCTAAAACAGTTCATCATTTGCCAGAGCCGTGTCACAGTTTTTTGCCATGTGACCGTGATTTTGTTAAAGTTGAAAAAAGAAAGCGTAAAACAGAGGTTTTGAATTTGCCTGAAGAATGGTATTCAATAGTAAAGAACTGTGGTAAGAAGTTTATTGTTAAACGTATAACACAAGATATGGTGTTCGATTTTAAAATATATCTCGAGTCTTTTTTTTAAATCTTCCGCAGTTAAGAAACAGCTTTTTACTTATCGAAATATAGACTATTCTGCCGTCCTAACAGAAAACGCAGCAACTCGAATTTTAGCGATTTTGAGATTTTGGTAGATTTGTACTCTTCAACATCTTTTCTATCAATCTGCTATCTCAGATTTTTTGAAAAAAAAAATTCCCCCAAAAATTGAAAAATAAAATTGCAGTAACTCTGACACATCATGTAATTACTATTGAGAAATGCAGCAAACATAACTCCTAAAGAGAACTGCAGTATTCTAAAATATACTGTTTAAATAATTTGTATTACCATAAAACTACGTTACATATTTCTAACTTGAAATGCAGTAACTTTGTTGTGCTAATTTATGTATAAAGATTTCCGGAGCAAACATCCAACCTTTACGTGCTCTTACGAGTTGTACAGATTAGCAGTTAAGGCTAAAAATATATCCTTTACAAAACTCGGGCATAAGGAGTGTGAGTGCTGCACGGTATATGAAAATCATGGTCACTCGAAAGAAAATATAGATCTGGAATGTCAGACGTGTAAAATTTACAGCGTACATATAAAAAAAAGCTACAGAATCAAGAAAAATGTATAGAGAAGAAGCCGAAAAAGAAAGAAGTAATCATGAAGTCTGCTACACGGCAGATTTGCAAAAGGTCATTATGCTCCCGAGGTTAGATCAATATAAAGTGGCCTTATTTACACCACGTATAATTGCTTTTAACGAATCCTTTGTTCCTGTCGGGAAAAAAACAAATTGGTATAAAACCAGTAGCTGCTGTTTGGCATGAAGGTGTTGCTGGAAGTAAAAAAGAAGATATTATAAGTACCTTCCACTCCTTCTTCTTGGAAAATCGGGATTTCGCAAAAATTACATTATGGCTGGATAACTGTTCCGTTCAAAATAAAAATTGGTGTTTTTTTTCTTTCTGATCTACAGGGTCCGGCAATAGTGCGTCGGGCATCTGTAGTGCAAACCTAAAGTATGTACCAGGATGTATTTCAGGAAAATATTTTAACTTCTATCGGGTGGCTCAAAAAAGTGTGAGTGGACCTGGATAATTTTTTTTAAATGGAACACCCTGTATATTATTGCATTTTTGGCTTTCTTTCCGATCACTTTACATAACCCTAAGATATGAATAAATACATTTCGATAGTTTCAGAGATATTAAGAAAATAAATCAAAATATAAAAAAAAAAAAAAGTTCTTAAAAAAATTATTAAAAGACAAGACTTTGTTCTGGCGAATCAAACTATATTAGGTGTTTACTTTAGATGGTCTGTACTTGCTATAGTATGAATAATTCTAAATTATACAGGATGTTCAAAATTCTACACTTAAATTTTCTAAAATATTAACTTATTTTTCTTCGTTTTTAAATACATGAACCCTAAGCCTCTGACTATTTTAAAAGACGGAGAATTAAAAATAGAACATTTTTGTATTCACAGTATTTCAAAATTTTTAACGGTTTCGCAGATATTTGCGGTTTTATATTTCATATGGCATTTTTTCTACAGTAAATTTATCAAAGCCACCCTAATATTTTTCTGCGTATTTTACCATTTGAAGCGCCACTGCAGAGCCATTACCGTATAATCTGCAGGAAGCAGTGCGTGAAATACTCTAAATACAAAAATGTTCATCATTTCCCATCCTAATAAAAATAATAATTTTTTTTTTTTTTTTTTAAACAAGAAAAATATTTCATATTTTAGAAGTTTGATCTAAAAATCTATTCGGCATGTGGGATTCCCGATTACCATGTTATAAGCAGGAAATGGAATATTTCATCTATGGTTGCAGATTCAAGCAGTTCTTTAATATTTTCCTTCAATTTTTAAGAAGGGGCTGTCATTTTGATTGGCCACAATATATTGTTGCTGTCTTGGAGTGATCTGAAGTCAAAATAAATAATGAGATGTATTTCCTCTTAAAAGGCTCTCAAGTGTTTTTATTCTGGGCTTCCTGATGCCGACACTTTGCTGGGACCAATATACAGGAAGTAGCAGGCATACAGGCAAGAAGGAAATCTGGGTCAGAAATGTTTCGATCCTGGGCACCACGTACGCGCTGAGTGCGGATAGTTTCCACCATCAGGTGGAACTTTCTATGAAATATAAGGGTAGCGTATGCGATTTTAAAAGATTTTAGTAATGCCGTACAAAATGCAAATTCGGAAAAAGTAACGGTAATTGAAATGGAAATCGGACATTTCTACGATTGGCTTGATCATAGTTCCCAAGCCAAAAAAAAAAAACGGAGCCGCGATCATATTTGTCTGAAATAACAATGGTGTTTGCAGAGCAGGGAAAAAGTAGGTACAATATTTTACCAATTATGGTTCAACCACTCAAAAATTTTAA